TCTTGGCTCTCAGGGAAAACACAGTAACATAGTCATCAGATTAATTGGTGATGAAATTGTAGGCAAACTGGTACATTTAGGCAATGCTGATAGGAATGCATATTGGTAGAGGGATTTTGGAGAGCCACAAATAGCTAGCAACCCTGTAATGCACAAAAGCAAGAGTCATGGTGGTGTAGTGGTTATTTGTTGGGCTGCTAGCCATGAGGTGAGCAGTTCCAAACCACCAACTGCTCTGTAGGAGAAAGATGAGGTTTTCTACCCTAGTGTAGAGTTACAGTCTCGGAAGACCCACAGGGGCAGTTCTACCCTGTCTTATAGGGACAGGTAGGTCTACCCTGTCTTATAGAGTTGCTGTGAGGCAGATTGGACTCATTGGCAGCGAGTAAGGTTTAATGCACAGCTGCATATCTCTTGCATCCAGCAGCCCCACAACATATGGTAAAAGAAACTTCTGTGGATGCATGACGTTTTGATTGTAAACTCTGGAAAGTTAGAAACAATGTTAAGTATTCATGAGTAGGAAAATTGGAATATATTAATATATTTAACATGTTAATCAGAATGAATTTGAACTGATTGCCTACTTGGATGGGACCGAAAAATACATTCTTCAGTAAAAGAAAGTAATTTGCCAAGTAGCACACTCTTTCATGCTATGTCTCCCAGAATCCACAGGATAATATTATCCCTCTGTCTGTTTAAAGCCTTTTAAGTGGTATTTACTTTTCGACCTACAGGATAGTTGCAGAACAAGCCAGAGTTTACAGATATCCCCTGGCCTATTTTTCCACCAGTGGACATTTAACTTGTCCCCACCCTTGGCCGTTGTGAATGGCATTTCAACGCACACTGGTGTATGCTTGTCGATTTGCCTGGTTGTTTTCAAGTCCCTGGAGTTTATGTTGAGGAGTGGAGTGTGGGATCACATGATAGTTCTCCATTTAACGTGTGGAGGAACTGCCAAGCTTTTTCTGTAGCAACTGTACCGTTTGGCATTCCCGCCAGCAATGAATGAGGCTTCCATTTTCCCCATGCCCTCACCAGCATCTGTTTTGATCCTGTAAAGAAGTTATTTAAAAAAAAAAAAGTTTTTAAAATTGTGAACTAGGTGGGTGCTTACATTTCAGATCATCAATTTTTTTATTTTTATGCAACAACGTAAGCTACTGAACAAGCCTCTCCATGTATTACTCTGCCCCCACCCCCTTGATTTCTGATGAGAAGGCATTTTAAAGGAATTATTTGCCTTACTTTATATAAATAACATACAGTGAATACATAGAAAATATTCAATGTGTGGCCTCATATCATGTAATAAAAGCATTTAACTTTAAGCCGAGAAAGAATTAAAGGTGCCAACCTCTCTACAAGAGAACTGCCAAAAGTTCATGGAATAATTCCATTATCTTTCAATTCCGATTATCCGTGAACTTTTTGAAGTACCATCCTAGAACCGCTGAGAGGATTTCGATCACGGTTAAGTTTGTTGGCAAATGAAATGACATCCACTTGGGCTGGCAACATGATCTCATTTCGAAAGTCGTGGCTATACTTCTAGCTGCAAGGTCACTGTCAGAGGCAGGGAGCATGTCCAGTGTCGTGTCTGTCCCAAGGTTGGTTGACAAGAGTGGAATTCAGAGTCTGCTATGGGGTGAGCTACAAGGCATTACAGTTAGGTTCCCCTGCGGGGTTCCATGTAACCCTCCCTCCCCCTGGCATTTTCCCTAGGTCTCTACCCTCCAAGAGCCAAGCTGGCAATACAGAGGCACCTCTCCTCTCTGACAGACAATGAACAAGCTGACATCTTCGAACGAGTGCAGGTAACCTCCTGGGTCGCGCTCCTCACTAAGATCTGAGCAGTGGCCAGATCCTGTTGTGATGTGTCCCTCTCCACGCTGCTTTCTGAAGTCAAAGTTACATCCTATACAGTGCTCTTTGAGAGTCAGTAGGATAGCCTTGCTCGTGGTGCTTTTAAGGCAGTCAAAGACCTGGCTTGGTTTGTGTGTGTGCGCGCATGCACACGCTTGACATGATCAGCCAAGCGAGAGTGAAATTAAATGAAGGAAGCTGTGTAGCCA